CCTCCCCGAGGGAACTGTATTATGAAGTATCCACAAGCTGGTGAGGTCAAATACTTTTGAACCAATCCAAAGTGATGAAGTGACTCTCAGTGACTGTGGCAATGCAGCTCTACAGCTGCTATTTTATGCCTTTGCCATCACAAAGCATGCAGAATATCTGACTGCAGAAGGCTACTTGCCTTGGCAGCATGCACCAACAGCAACTACAGACTGTTTAACTGCAGAAACAGACACAGTTTACATCAACACTTCAATAACTGCAGTCCCACTTGCACTGGAGACTTTCCTGGAGCAAGTTTTTACTGGGACTACTTAAGTACTGAATATTACTTTTGCTCACCTACCACTTGCAGCCAAGCGATGCTCATATACCAGCAAGCCAAGAGCTTCCTGCATTCAGCTTTCACATAATCTGATGCTTGTCCTGTAAATCATGCATCAAGTGCCATTCACAAACACCAGACATGGGAGTCTGTTCTGAAAGCCTGAGAGGCCCAACAAAATACTGTCACGGCACTGCATGGTGCAATGGAGCTTCCAAATAGGGTACTGTATTTAAGACTATCTACAAGTAGACTTCTGTCTATAGGATGACACCATTATAAGCTGCACAATACTCCCATGCAAATGAGAATTTTTATTGTGTTGTAGGACCTTCTTCTACAACATACAATTACCATGGTTTGGAGAAGTAAGTAGCATTCCTACCCACGGCAGTATCAGAGTAAAAACAAGCAAAATACAAGGAAGGTAAAAAGAGCTGTAAAGGGAAACTTCAGATCAAAGAACTCTAGTCCTCAAACTAATGTAGAGGACCACGCATCCAGACCCATTACTATTTTGTCATGTGATCTGCAAGATCCTTAAGGCACCCTCAGGGTTACTTCACGCTTCTTCACTCTACTCCTGTTAAAGAGGACCCTGGTCACAGGCATGGCAAATTACCAAAGTAACCAAGGAATTTTCTCAGAAAAATCTTTATTATTCATGTTTAATAGCAGAATGCGGTTCACTGCTTTTTAACTGCAATTATGAACTAGCAGAACCAAGAAGATGTTTGAGCAGAAGCTTAGGACTATGGCAAGCAGCTGACGGGTACACAGGAGAGCGAGATGAGCACTGAGACTGTCCCGGCTTCTTCCCTGCACATACGAATTCAGCAGCAAGTTACTCGGCAAGATTAAAGGATAGATGATCTTAGTTGTCTCAACTGTTTGAGAGAACAGATGCTCAGAATAATCATTCAAATGAAGAAATATATTGGCATTCCATGAAAGTGAACTGGAAGGCCTTAAAACTTGATTAAACATCTGATCTACAAGCCAAAACACAGTTAGGAAGAGCCAGGACAAATACAAGCAGATTCTTTGCAGCAGTCCAGTTGATAGCAAAACAAAAGGTCTTACTACCTTGGAGCTCTGGAATAAAGACCCCCAGCTCTTCTAGTTAGTTCTTCCAGGGTAAAGTTCTCATAGTCTTCATATCTTGTTGCTCTCCAGGACTTCTGGTGAGCATTGATAGCATCTACAAAGCCAAAGTTGTGCACATAACGTCTGCTTGAAAGTCTGCAAACAAAAGCAACCAAATAAAACAGCATGAAAAGGACTGGGATTGAAAAGTAAAAGTGTTCTTTAAACTGAATATGGAAGAGACTAACTCTACCAGAGTCTCCTTGCAGGTACTGATAAACATGCAATTATTGGATCAAGGCAAGGTTTCTGAAATTTGAGACAGACTAGAATGATACAATCATCATCTTTAGACACGCCAGTTTTGTAACTGGCCTTCACTACAGACTGAAAGAGCATCTGTGCTATGAACATGGCACATCCTCCTCTGTCTTCATGCATTCAGGTTTATTCCCAACATTATCACTGGCATTAACTCTGCCCTCAGCCACAGAATTGGTCCATATGGTTTTCACTGAAACCTGAAGCACAGTTACGAAACATTTTATTCCCGTGAAAGGTCACCTATCTACTGCTTACCTTCCCCTGGGCTTCTGGAGAGGTTGCTCGTTTACGTGAACATCCGAGGGAGATGAAAAAATCTTCTGTCCACTGAAACAAGCCCAATTGCGGCCAAGTACATCATGTACCAATCCTGGCAGAGTCTCATTACAGTAGCTGGTTACATTCTGGCCTTCCGTTTTGTACTGTAATGTGAAGAGATTATGCTTGTGTTGAGTAGATGCATCTGTTAGTACAGCAGTATTCCTTATCCACCCAGCTCCTTCTTGCCTATGTTTCAGAGGCCAGACATATATTCCAGATCAACCAGTTATCATGTTTGATTTCAAGACAAAGTAGTATCAGGAAAAGGTTAAGCAGATGAAATAAATGGATCTTTTATCAAATTGCTAGAGGAAGACAAACAGGTTGTGACTTCCACTTTTAGCAACAACGCATGTATTAGTATCAACTAAAAGGTGCTAATTGTTACTTTCTAGGTAAAATTTAAAAGATGCCTTAGTACTTATCCTTCTCTTCAAGGCCCTGTGGTTTCTTACACCAAATATGCGACTAGCCAAACTACTCCTCGACTTCTGTAAAACTCTGAGAAATTAGACTGACAGGGAAATATGAAGGAGAATATAGTGAAATAATTAAGCCTATCGATCAGAAGCATAAAATTAAAGGTTAATCCTCTGATTGTTTTAGAACAATAGGCATTTGTTTTGTCCCCAGTTGAGAGGCATGACAGATGCACTCGATCCCTTAACCAAACGAGCAGTAGTCTGGTACAGGTTCCAAAGGAAGTAAAGGCCTGAGCCATAGCTGGGCCAAAAACTCCTCTAGGAAACCGACAAAGGAACAGTGAGCAAGTGAGTATCAATGAGCTCAGAATACCAATCATGCGATTAACACATGAATAGCAGTTTCCAAGACTCATTTATCAAGGAATGAAAGTCATGGGTACAAGAAGTCTCATGCATACCTTTCCCATTGTATACAATTTGACTACAAGCCAACCCCTTTATCTCATAAATATGACAGCCTAAGTGAGCCTTCTTTGAGCTCCCCCTGCCAGGCAGCGTGGTGATGGCAGTGATCTCCCTTGAGCTGGGACACTTCTCAAGGTTACAGATGGCAGTGATCTCCCCTTGAGCTGGGACACTTCTCAAGGTTACTCCTCAAGGCAGAGGCCTTTTACCGACGGCAGAACTTTGGATGAGCCCAATTCGAGCTCTCTCTGAATTGCAACTGGACTGCGCTTCAGGTGACTTTCCCCTTGAGCAGAGATGCCTCTCAAGGTTTGCGATTCCTTACCTGAGGCTGAGAGATCCTTCCTTACCCAAGGAGAAGAGACCCCTTATTTGCAACAGATCCTCAGTAAGCGACTGATAGCATGCTGAGACATTAGTACCATGTAGCTGCTCAATATTACAAACTTCGCATATATAAACCTTTAGACATAAACTGTTGACCAAGTCTGGGAGTAAGTCTGGATCCAGTTGCACCTAGAATTCTCTGAGAAGGGAGTTTAGAAAGCAAGGGAGTCTACTCTGAACCTCATGACTCAAAAGAAGGCTTTACTTCCTCTTTGTATTTCTTCCCTTAGACATAAACTGTTGACCAAGTCTGGGAGTAAGTCTGGATCCAGTTGCACCTAGAATTCTCTGAGAAGGGAGTTTAGAAAGCAAGGGGGTCCATTCTGAACCCCGTGACTCAACAGGAGGGTCTTCCTTACCCTTTTTCATCTCCAGTCTGTGTAAGCCATTCCAGCTCGATTCTAACTTGATTTTCCTTTGTATGTTTCTTCCACATAGTAAGTAATAGAGTGAACCTTGCCATTGAACTTTGTGTAGTCTCACTTTTACAGATTCATATTAAAACCACTTTTGCTAATTCCTCTGAGGGTGATTCTTTGAGTGATTTAAATCACTTATCTGTGACAGCAGGCTGCAGAGACCAACACCTGCCACCATCTACACCCTTGATTGTCTAGCAAGGCAAGCATGTTAGCTGACTGGAGCAGGATGGGAGTACTAGAAGGCTGAGCTGTTACCTTGTTCTATTTGTCCTATCATAATATGCAAGATTGTGCAATACAGGAAATAACTACACTTGGTCAAATACCAAGGGCAAGGTCCAGAGATTACTTTTTAGAAATACTCTCTTCACAAGAGCATTGCTAGAAATCCAGACACTACCAAAAGCAACAAGTTACTGACTGTATATCAGGAAGCTACAGTGAAAGTACTTTATTTGGCTCTATGCAGTAGTATATATACCTTATTGGACACAGCATTTTAACAGGGATTCAGCAGTGCTACATAGGTAGGCTGCCATCCCATCCTCTTTTACATCTATTGTTCTCAATTTAAGCAATGTTCAGGCAATAAGCCAACTCCAATTCCAGGAAGCAGGGCTAACCTGTACATTAAGCCTGCACTGACCACTCATTTGTCAAACATACGAGTGTGCCTATGCATTTTGACATAGGAAGCATATTCATAATTAGAACAGGACTGCAGACTTGCACATGCCCTACTGTACAAAAATACAGAAGATGATATCATCAGAACAAATAACTGTATCTTGCTACCCGATATAAAATGCAAGCCAATATCAACTATAGATGCATTTTGTTTCTTCTAGGGAACATTCTGCAATTCAGAGATTTATGCTTTCAGATTTACACTTTTGGCAATGTGCAACTGCTGCTTCCCTTTGAAGTAAGCCTTACTAAGATAGGTTAGAAATTAACTTTCAATTGATTTGCAGGACAATTAAACAGCATTAACAACTCTAACACTTCTATTTAAGCAACATGGAATAAAATGCCTTCAGATTTTTTTTCAATATTCTGAAATTTAAACATTAACTACTGTCACTTGTCTAGGCTCGTTATTTCAGAATGGAAGTACTTTGTTTTAACCAAATTTGAGGGTGATGGGGAAGACAGGAAAAGATGTGACACCAAGTCAGTCTGGAAAAGATTAAAACTTGAGTACTAGAATATTCCATAAGGAAAAGATGTGACACCAAGTCAGTCTGGAAAAGATTAAAACTTGAGTACTAGAATATTCCATAATCTATTTTGTTCTTTTTGCTGAAGTAATGCTAATGTTTTTAATATGAAAAAATGCCAGACTTCTGGGTTTTTTTTGCTAGAGGACATCTCACATTAAATAAGAAACAAGAGCATTCAATAAAAGAAACATGTTATTTCGTGCAGCAAACAAACAGCAGGCAGAGTAACTACAACTTATGAGAAGCAGAATGCCAAGAATGCAGTAAGATGCTGCATTTAACTTGGCAAGCCTTGAGGGACAAGTCTATGTACAGCAATCATAAGAGCCCCTGTACTTAAGCTATTAAAGTGAACTGAGGAAAAAAAGAAATACATTGATAAGCTCACCCAATCCATTTCTTTGGTGTGGAAAGTCATTTCCCCACAGTCCCCAGGTGAAAGAACAAATAACCTGTAAAGGTAGTGAGGCCCTATAAAAATTTTAGTGGGTGTACAAAAGGCTCACTGAAACATGCATCAGCAAACAGCCTGTGTCTATATCCACATAGTACAGTAGCTCTGATACAGTCACAATTTAGACAAACACACAGCATTCCTGTTATTAATTAATAGCTTCATTCTTCAATATTAAACAAAAATACACTGGAAGTTCAATTAGCACCAGTTGCACTTCTATGCTTTAAACACATGAAGTACTCCATTGCCTTAAATACTGCTGTTCATTTTGCCTCACAACTCCATCCTCTGTTCAACGGCAGAGCACGAGGAATGTGTTACAGCATCCTGATTTACCTGCTGTGATGCTTTATCTGCTCTGTCACCATGATGGTGTTTTAGCCACATGATTTAAGTGCAACATAAACAGAACTTGAAATTTATGAGTGGCCTTTAAGCAACGAATACTTCACTTACAAGCCCAAACCCACAGCCATGGAAGGAGGAGATGTGCAAGGCTTTCTGTGTTATGGCTGCTCCACCACCACAAACTGCTCCGATAAGCAAAAAGTTACTCCACAATCAAGTGGTAACTCCAGAGCAGGGTTCACATTGGAAGGTTATTTCAGAGTGAAACTAATTTTACCAAGTAATAAAAGCAATAGCAAGTTATTCCATATTAAATATTAGTTCTATACCTTCTTGCTGTAAAACAAAAGACTGCTAGCAAAAATAATTCTTCCTTTCCATGAATTCCAAAGGGACTTTGTCTAATGACTTTCCACATTCTCAATGGCAATCAGGCTAAGCAATGTTCTACAAGACTGCTTTATGCTTTCCTCTTGCTGCATTTACAGGGAGAAAGGCCCTCACCAATTAGCATTCCAGTTTACCCTATTTTACTCCAACGGTTTCTAGATTATGACCAAAACTAAGCAAATGAAGTCTGCTATGTTTATATTACATTCAGGTGTAAATGGTAGGAGTCTTTTAAACAATCGGCAATCATTCTTCAAAAACCTCTGAAGCATGCATTGAGCAGAATATACCAGCTGTCTCCTAGAAGCTTTATAGTAGAAGATGATGGAATAGGTCCTAGAAGAGTATTAGCTGCATTTGATATAAGAAACCACATTTTTAGGTTATACCAGGACTAGGTATTTTGTATTTCTATTTCATATGTCATGCACTATTTACTGGATTAAAAGTAATCAGATAGAAACTGCTTGACCTTGTGACACTTGGATATGTGTAAGGAACCACTTCTTCCCCCCAAGTCCCCACTGACAATTGTGAAATAACAGTTTTGCAGATCAGACAGTATTGCAAGTTGTTGCCTAACAAAGTCAACTAGTCGTCTGCAGGAAAAAATGCATTTACATTTACTAAGTGCTGTGGTATTTCCTCGTGCTTCTCAGTCATTATACTTCCATCTTGGTAACCTGTTTCCTTTACAGCAGCAAAATTAGAGAGGGCAACTGAATTGGGCTCTGATCCTCTCTATAGTATTTGAGGAAAGAAGCTTTCAATTTAATCATGTCTTGCCGAGAGATTCCCTACCAGCGAACAATGAACCAAACAAGCTTGCTATTTCTCAATACCAAAAGCAACTGCAAAACTAACAATTAATCCATCTGCCTACAAAGGGCTAAGACACATTCATGACCATGAAATGCAAGCTATTGTGCACTGCTACTGCTCAGATGTATATTCAACTTATTTTGTTTTGAGCAGCAAGTTGAATCAGATGACCTCCAGAAGTTCCTTCCAGTTAAATTCTATAACATGGTTTTCGTATATTATTTAAGCGTACTCTCACAAAACAAGGCATTTACATTTTTATAAGCACAGAGGGATACACGAGATCAGCATTTATCAGCCACTTGACTTGCTCATCTTCCAGGGACGTATTTTACAACATACAGAAAGCAGCAGTAGAGTCTTCAGTGACTCTCTCAACTGTCTTCAGGTTAGTGTCTGACAGTTCATTTACATTCCAGAACAGGCCACTGACTGTTTCTATGATTAAGTTCCTCACATTCAAGAATTAGTTTGATAATCAACACTTGTTTCAACTGCTCACCATACTGGCTTGTAAAGCAACTCTGCATTTCTGTGTAAAATATCAGCCTGAGGATTCCCAGTCCGCTAGTTCAACTAGCTTCCTCAGATGCGTCCACCAAGGACAGCAATGACTGCTGAATTCCACCTGCCAGATACGACCCCTCAAGCCTGAGTTCATGGACAATACTACAACATACAGTGCTCCATGTCCTTAGGGAGGGAGCAATTCCTGCCACTTCAGAGGCAGGCTCTCCCACTGTAGGGAAGCTCACAGAGGTGTTCCTGCTAACAACTTTCAGAGAAATTCTGCTCAGCTTGAGTACCCTTCAGTTTCTATAGTTTTTGCTATACCATCTTCCAAACCTATGAGAAGTGCACACCATGGCAATTTAGTGTCACAACTGCATACAGATGAGAGAATGTCAATCAGGTATTTTTCTCTCACGCTTCACATTTGCTCAAGTATAAGACCCTCTCATGCAGAATCATTCTTATTTTAAAAATGTACAGGTATAAGAGTGCACTAGTTTTGGCAGATAATTATTTTATTTAGAGTATCTCATACAGTGCAACGTTTTGAATTTGTGATGAAAGCAGAGTTGATAACACAGGAATGTTTTAGTTATTGCTGAGCAGTGTTTACACAGCATTAATGCCTTGTCTGCTCCTCAGACAGCCCCACCAGTGGGTAGCCTGGGGGTGCACAAGAAATTGGGAAGGGACCCAGCTGGGACAGCTGACCCCACCTGACCAAAGCGATACTTAATATCATATAACATCATGCTCAGCAATAAGAGCTGTGGAAAGAAGGAGAAAGGGGGACATTCAGAATTATGGCATCTGCCTCCCTAAGAAAGAGCTATGCATTATAGAATTATTTGGTTGGAAGGGACCTTCAAGACCATCTAGTTTCAATCCCCCTGCCATGGGCAGGGACACCTTCCACCAGACCAGGTTGCTCAAAGCCCCATCCAACCTGGCCTTGAACACTGCAAGGAATGGGGCATCCACAGCTTCTCTGGGCAACCTGTGCCACTGCCTCACCATCCTCATGGTGAAGAATTTCTTTCCTAATGTCTAATCTAAATCTTCCCTCTTCCCATTTAAAGCCATTCCTCCTTGTCCTATCGCTACATTCCTTTGTAAAAACTCCCTCTCTGGATTTCTTTCAGGCCCCAATTAGGTGTGATGAAGTCCTGCTTTCCTGGAAATTGCTTAACACCTGTCTGCTGGTGGCAAGTAGTGAATGAATTCCTTATTTTGCTTTGCTTGCATACACAGTATTTGGTTTACCTATAAAAGTACCTTTATCTCAACTCTCAAGTTATCACACTTCTACCCTTCCAGTTCTCTCCCCCATCCCACTGGGGAGGAATAAGCAAGTGGTTCCATGGTGCTTAGCTGTCTACCGGGGTTAATCTACAAAGAGCATGTAAACAACTTCACCATTAGTCTTGTAAAACCACCTACATGGCCGTTTCCCTTAACTCACAGGAGCTCAAGTCGGCATGGAGGAAGCTGCAGTTAAATCAGAGCCTCATACATCACTTCCGTCCAGTAAGGATTACAATTCTCCTGGAACAGTGGATCACTCACTTTCGCTAACATCTGAAAACACTTGACTTGAAAACAGTTGCTGTGAAATAAAACATCTACAAAGGTTCCTACAAAGACAATTTAAAGCAAAAGTAGTTTCTTCACCCTCCTTACTACTAGCCAATGTTCAGAGATTTTAGTCTTGGGCAAGGCCTGAGTGTTTACTATCAGCTCATCTGAAGCCAGACACAAGATCATGCTTCCTCAAACAACCAAGAAACATGTTCACCACTCCTGCCTATGGCTGCACTCACCAACCTGTGTCTTGCTGCACAAAACATCTGTCTCCCAGGGAGCAGAGTCATCCTGCAGAGACTTCTAGCCACCTCCAGATTCATAATGCCATTCATCAGGACAGCAGCAGAGCGCTCCTTAGCAAGTGGGTTTCTCCTGTCTAGCCCCTGCCTACCAGCACTGTTTTCAGCTTGATCTGAAGTCATTAATAGCAACTGGAGATAACAGTATTACTCTAAAAGAACAATTATAGGCAGCAGAAAGGTTCCTTAGATATTAAAGTTGTATTCTGGAATAAAATTTAAAGTTCCTAGAAACCCTCCAGCAAGGAGAGCAGATGGCCTTTCTAAAGTTTTCACGCATTTAAGAACATCTTTAAGGAAGATAAAAGCAATGACATTTGCTATTTCACTAGGGTCCATGGTGTCAGGAAGAAAACTGAAAAAAAAAGTTTCCAGGCTACCAGGAGAGTTAGCTTCACGAAAGCCTTCAATTGCTTTAAGCATGCCCAGAAGGGAAAGCAGCAGCATCTGTAACAGATTTCTCAGATAACACCCAGCGTGGAATACAAATACCTCTTCCTTCCCTCTGCTCCCTACCCAGCCACTGATAACTGTTTCCTTACATTAAAAAAAAACAAAATGTCCTGTATCTGGTAATCCAGGCAAACCTTAGACCCCAAGATAACCAAGTGTCCCAACTGCCCCACTGTGGCACTTGGTGACTAAAGAGAAGCCTAAGTACAGGTGATTTTAGCAAGTCAGTGATGCAGAACACACCAAGTTAACTCACCTTAAAAAATGCAAACCACTTGTAGTCATTTAACACAATTTCAAAGCCTTGATTGTAAATCAAAGTGAAGAAACCATAGTTGCCCAGATTATCCTGAGCCACATCTAACTCCTGTAGATTCACAAGCACCTTTCTTTCCACAGGCCCTGCGAGAAATACAAACATTATTGCACAATTATTGCATGGAAGAGAAAAACAAAAAAATTAATACAAAGAGTGTTGCAACATTTATTTCATTCCAAAAAATGGTAAAATACAGTCATTGAGCACAGTATTCTGCAAAAAGGCATCAAGCAAACACACTTCAGGGACTTCACTTACCTGTCAGTGGGTCTACATGCTCATTTTTTCTACTGCTAGACAGTATTTCACATTTAATTAGCAGCAAACAGCTGTTACTGGGAAACATCAGCTTATTAAACATAACTTGCTATGCAGGACTCGTATGTTGTGTCACTCAGGTGCTGTGTCTGCAGTGACAAATCTTCCCCTAAAATATCCACGATGAGGTATCACCCACCCCATGCTCCTTCACACCAGTGCTCCGACTCCCTCCACCACTCACCGCCACTGCTCCTGCTGCCACTTGTCTCATCCGCTCAAAAAGCGGATGATTTAGAAAAACGCAAAGTATCTACTACTTTTTAAATAATACTGACGTACAATAATTAAATAATAACTCTCCACTACTATTAATCCCCTCAAGGGAAGTGACATTTCTGTTTCTCCTGATGCTACCAGGCTCCCTAGGCAGCCAG